ACATGCTGTCGAACTATTTTCAGGTTATGGGGAAGAATCACTCCAAGACCACAGATACAATTTACTTGCTGCCACCACATAGAGTGTGGTACTTGCATACGCCAGGGTTGTCATACAATGAAACTCCTGGCCCACAGCACAGAACAAAAGGGACTGAAATAATCTTCAGCCAGAGGTGGCTGTCCTAAATTGTTTTAGTCTGTTCTCTTTTTGGCTTAACTATTTGAGGAGAGATAGTCCCTGTAGCTTTAAATAACATGTCCTCATTCTTTAAGTAGGACAATTTTGCTCCAGTTAAAATAAAAACTGAGCCCGGCTAGTGTGACTCAGTGGTTGAGCGTCGACCCATGCACCAAGAGGTCATCAGTTTGATTTCTGGTCAGGGTACATGCCCAGGTTGTGGGCCAAATCCCCAGTGGGGGCATGCAGGAGGTGGCCAATCGATGTTCTCTCTCATCGATGTTTCCATCTCTCTCCCTCTCCCTTCCTTTCTCTCTAAAAATCAATAAAGATAAAAAATTTAAAAAAAAACTGAATTATGCTTTATAATAAACACCTCGTCCTCCCCAAACAGAGTGCATGGCTGTGTTTGTGTTACTCATCCAGGTTTTAAAAAACTGACAGGAGCCCTGGCCGGTTTGGCTCAGCGGTTGGAGTGTCGGCCTGTGAACCAGAGAGTCCTGGGTTCGGTTCCCGCTAGGGGCATGTACCAAAAAAAAAAAGTAAAACTGGAAAAAACTGACAGGTAAATAAAGACAAGATGCAGATTAGTTTCCATTTTTATTAAAGTTGTGTTTTTTTAAGGAATATATTACACTTAAAGTTCAATACCATAAATAAAGATCAGTTTTTAAATCTTCTATTTTACTTATTACAAATGTAAACATAAAAGAAAATAATTCACCACTCCTTCCCCAACTCTGACTAAATGTGTATATATATATTAAAAAGTCATCCCTTCTGGTATGAGTAGCACAGTCTTCAGAATGAGTAGCATAGCCTTTATTAAAATGTTGGTCCTGCTGGGCTGCAAGGACATGGCACAAATGACAGGAGTCCACTGTAAAACAAACCTGAGGGGCTGTGACCGGAGTCCACCTCCTCCTGCCAGGACTGCTCAAATGCCCTCAGAGACTCAGAGACAGACATCAAGCACAAGACACTGTGATGAACATGACGTGCAAGTTGGCATCCTCTAGGAGGTGGATCAGAGCCAGCAGGACCTGGCAGTTCTGGGTCAGTACTAGTCATGGAACACTAGAGCTGGAAAGATTCTGAGAAAGCATCTAGTCATTTTACAGATGGTTTCAACCAGTGAGTCTTCTAATACTGAAGAGAATATTGGTACTGAATTTTGAAGAATACTCTGGTATACTTATTTACGTATCTTCCTAAAACTAAACTTCATTAATTAATGTTTCATCTTCATATAATGATAAACTCTAAGCCAACTTACTAAGCTGAAACTAATTTTAAGCATAATTTATAACATTTTTAGAATGTCTATTTGGTCTTAACAAAAATGAGTATCCTTAAGAAATAAGTAAGGGGAAAGGATGTTTTTCAGGAGACTATTAGAGGGATTTACATGAAGACTTTCTACATGCTTGCCAGTTTCTTTAAAGCTGTCAGCTCAAGTCTACTGACATGGCTTTTGCTTCCTTCCTGTAAATTGTGTTCTTGAAAACCTGAGAGACAATTCACTTGTTACAAATTGGGGCCTTAATCCTATCAAAATGAACCTAAGTCTGAACTGAAAACTGAGGTAGTCAGTTTTTATAAGCACTTGACCCTTTCTGAGTCAGACTCCCGCCTACTACCCCGGAATCAGCTCCTCCCCACTCTCCTTCCCTACCCCACCTCACTTCCACCGTGACTGCAGTCTGCACAATCTCTTTCTCAGTGAACTGGCTTTGCTAACATGAAGGGATCTGCCACAGAAACCTGACACTTATGCCATTTCAAATTCTTCAGTTCAAAGCTGAATTCTAGCCTACTAATTCTGCATTGAAACCTCAGATTTTAAGAGTCTTTTTTAGAATATTGTCATAATCTGAGTGACTAAAATGTGCCTCTTAAATTTTCTTACAGGTTCAATGGCCTTCTAAGTCTTCACTGAGTAAACTATGCAGAATCAGTGATAAGTGACCACTTTCAAGACTTAAAGAAGAAGGAAGACACCAGCACATTTAGTTACCCTCAGAAACTCAAGATTTGTCATCATACTTTATCAAGTTTCATATTTGTGCAGAGAAAACACTGGGCTACCAGATTCCAAGCTTAATAAATATATATAGAAAAAATGTCATCTATAATATTTTCTCCAGAAAGTCATTAGTGCAAATATAATTATATCAATAAAAAATAAAGCAAAAATATATTTCAAGTATAAAAAGCACCGTGCTCAGAAACAATACTACCTAAATGGCATTACTGCACAACAGTCAAAATACAATCAAACCTATCATTGTAAATCTTAAGTCTTAAATATATTCTCAGTCTGTAGTATTTTTGGTGAAATTCTTTTTTTTTTCATCCTCACCCGAGGACATTCTTCCATTTTTTGTTCAGATAGAGTGAGAGGGAGAGAAAGAGAGAGAGAGAAACATCGACGTGAAAGGGACACATCGAATGGCTGCCTCCCACACGACCAACCAGGGCGGGGACAAACTGCAACCGAGGTACGCGCCCTTAGCGGGAACCAACCCAGGTCTCTCTGGATCGCAGGCTGATACTCTCACCGCTGAGCCAAACCAGCCAGGGCTAAAATTCTTTATACAACTTTGTAGGATGATTCATAATCACAATCGGTATGTAAGTTTGGATTTTTATAGTTTTCTTTAAAAATATACTCTATACTTTTCTTGGACGTTGCACAATTTAAGGTATACATGACAGGCAGAAAACAGCACTGACCTGACACCTTTCACTGTTGGCTTCTCTTTAGCTGAAGACGGATATGCTAGAGACCCCCAGCTTTTCACAATGACAAATACCTTCCATTCAAAGCTGCATATTTAAATACATATTTAAAATCTACGCATGAAAAACGGTGACTTTCCTTTATGCTGAGGTTGCTGTTTGGTCCCAGTGCCAAACAGTCAGCTGGAATTACTCATGAGTGATTATGCTGCTTGCTTGCCTAGCACAATTTCTTTCTTTCTTTTTTTTTTTTTTTTTATCCTCACCCGAGGACATTTTTCCATTTTTTTATTCAGACAGAGTGGGAGGGAGAGAGAGGAAGGGAGAGAAACATCGACGTGAAAGGGACACATCGAGTGGCTGCCACCCGCACAACCCAACCAGGGCCAGGGACAAACTGCAACCGAAGTACATGCTCTTAGCGGAAACCGAACCCTGGTCTATCTGGACCACAGGCCGATGCTCTAACCGCTGGGCTACACTGGCCAGGGCTAGCACAATTTCTTTTTTAAAATTTTTTTGACAGAGAGAGGAAGGGAGAGATAGAAACAGCGATACTGCACGCCCCCTACTGGGGTTCAAGTCTGCAACAGACATGTGTCCTGACTGGGAATTGAACTGGGATCTCAGTCCATGGGACGATACTCAATCCACTGAGCAACACCTGCTGGGATTAGCACAATTTCTTACATGGAGTGCTCAATAGCCATATGCTGAATTAAAGGCCTAACCAATGAATGAATGAAGGGCTGTGTTTATAATGTCATAGGACTTTATTAGCTTTAGAGAGAAAAACTGGCATCATTCATCATTAAATAATTTAATTAGTTAACTGGAGTTGGTAAACTCCAAAGTAGAATTGCTTCTGCAGACCAGAATTTACATGGTAACAGAATTTGCAAAAGCAGGAAGTAAAGGACATCCTTTTAAAACAAAGGCTACCTTCCAACTTCTGAGGATTGAGCCATATGTTGTACAGTCAAGTAGACCCTATTGGGTAGGCTGTACAAAAAACCTACACTTTGCTATTAGTAAACAATTCAGACCATCTTGTTTTGACTTATATTTTTCTTCTTATATATAAAATATTTTTTTAGATAAAAGCTCTTCTGAAACAATTTCTAAGCCCATGTGAAGATAACTGCTTACCTGTCTATCCCAGAATTTCTTTTTATCTTCATTGTTCAAAATGAAATAGTTCTATTTTTGTTGGATTATAGTTGTCATAACTATTATCTGAAAAACATACATTTATATTTTCTTCTCTTCGCATATCTTTTTACAGGGCACATTACTTTTCTTCTCTGATGCTACAGCTTTTCAGGTCAGTATTAAACAAATGGAGAATAGAACAGGAAACTGAGCTGTGAAGATCAATGAGTAACAGATACAGCTGGAAGAGGGTTACCAACACATAACGACTCAAGAGTAAACTACCACACAGCTAGTTTGCAAAAGGCAAGCATGATTACATCATAAGATTTAGCAAAATGCAATAAAAAAAAAAAGACTTTTTAAAACAATGAGACCAATGATTTAAGTGTACCATGTACAGCAATTAAATTTAAAATAGGTATATCAGTGATGTAGAAATCTCAATTCAATTATTTTCTGTAAGTCAAAGGATAATTTATACTTCTGGGGACAGGAGCCACACTTATAATCTTGCAATAATGAGCTGTTCTTTAAATTGCTGTAGTACTGATGAATTTTCCCATTGTTGAAGGTTAGTGAGAATTCTGAGGTATGTAATCTGAAAATTTCACCAATATCTCATTTTCAGAGGATAACTTCAGGAAGGTGCTCTGGCCGGTTTGGCTCAGCAGTTAGTGCGTTGGCCCGAGGACCGAAAGGTCTCGGATTAGATTCCTGGTAAACAGCAAGTACCTGGGTTGCAGGTTCAACCCCTTGCCCTGGTCAGGGTCATGTGGGAGGCAACCAATCACTATGTCTCTCTCACATTGATGTTTCTCTTTCTCTCTGTCCCTTACTACCTTCTCAAAAAATTCAATGGAAAAATATCCTTGGGTGAGGATTAACAAACAAACAAAACTTCAGGAAGGTTATGTATCCTGAAAAATAAAGAGACTTGATGACCTGGAATTCCTTCCCCTTCTCCCAGCTGAGGCTGTTGGGTTGCTGATGAAGAGGGACTGCTGTGAAGCTGTGCTTCAAGGTCTGATTGTGGGCAACACTTTCAGGCCGAAGTCAGGAATGCCACTTCCGCCATCTGCATAGGCTGGTGCTCGCCCAGATTTTTGTGCTTTGTTCAGAGAAACATGACATGAAGGAATGCCTTGAGAATTCACTTTTCCATTCCTAGTGCCATACACACAGAAGAAATCCAGCCAGCAGAGGAAATAAATTGCCTAGCAGTAGCCAGAGGGTGACCACCAGGCTAGAGGAACAGGAACAGAGATCTAGGGTTGAAAACAAAAAATTGATTTTCTATAGACATTTTTAGAATACATCATATCAACTAAATACTGACAGATGAATATCGATGATTAAAAAGTGAACAAGGACCACCTAGGAGAGCAGAATCAAGAATGACATTTTTGCCCTGGCCAGTTTGGCTCAGCGGTTAGAGCGTCGGCCTGTGGTCCGGAGAGACCTGGGTTCGGTTCCCGCTAAGGGCACGTACTTCGGTTGCAGTTTGTCCCCGGCCCTGGTTGGGTTGTGCGGGTGGCAGCCACTCGATGTGTCCCTTCACGTCGATGTTTCTCTCTCTCTCTCCCTTCCTCTCTCTCTCTCCCTTCCTCTCTCTCCCTCCCACTCTATCTGTACAAAAAATGGAAAAATATCCTCGGGTGAGGATTAAAAAAAAAAAAAAAAATGACATTTTTTTTATCCTCACCTGAGGACATTTTTTGTTTAGATAGAGTGGGAGGGAGAGAGAGAGAAACATTGACATGAAAAGGACACATCAAGTGCTTGCCACCCACACGACCCAGCCAGGGCCAGGAACAAACTGCAACCGAGGTACGTGCGCTTAGCGGGAACTGAACCTGGGTCTCTCTGGACCGAGGGCCGACACTCTAACCACTGAGCAAAACCGGCCAGGGCAGTAATGACTTTCTAGCCAAGGCTGGTTTGGCCCAGCAGTTAGAGTGCTGGCCTATGAACCAAAGGGTTTTGGGTTCAATTCAAATCAAGGGCATGTGCCTGGGTTGGAGGTTTCCTGGTGTGACCGGGCCATGTGGGAGGCAAACAATCAATGTGTCTCTCTCCCCCATTTCTTTAAAGAAAAGAAAAGAATGATTTTCTAAGACCCAGATATGTAATTTTTTTCTTTTGCATTTTTTGGAAAAAGAAAATATGTATGCAAGAAGAAAAGAAGATGTATCTACCATATCAAGGTTAAAAAATAGCATGCAAGAAGAGAAAGAAGTGTCTTCAGCTAGACTCCCAGCAAAGTTAAAGATGCTGCACAGGAAAGTAGATTAATTTCTTGGCTATTCTGACATGGAAAGTAGGACTCCCTTCTGTTCTTCCTTGTCCCTTTTTTGATAGTAACCATATAATTTATTATCTCAAATCAGGACATTCTTAGACAAATGTTGAAATAAACTGATAGTCCCAAGATGGTGCCATGTCAGCTAACCAAAACTTAGATAACTTCTGTGTGCTTGACCAGAAAGACAGTATATCCAGTCAGCTAATCGCCAATCAACAAGCCAACTTTGGGCTCTATACTTTTTCCCTTGTTCCTTGATCTTTCAAAATCTGTCAGATACGCAACCCTGACCAATTAACTTAAGCTGAGTGCTTCTTCCTTGTTTCTTGTGTATAGCCCTTTCCTCTTCGCTGTTCTCTGGACTCTTGAAGGGTGGAGACTGCCTGCTTCATGAAGTGTGAAATCAAATTTGCTCAGATCAACTAAATTGTTCTCTTTGATTATTTTAACACAGGGCACTTAGTACTTATTAAAGTAGCTCCCATGGACCTGTGTCCTTGTACAGAAGTTCCGGTTCTCAACAAAGAATATATTAGCAATGTACTCTGAAGACCACCGAGCTGAATCTGGGAGGCTGCAGCGCCCTCTGAATACATAGAGCTGGGAGAACAGGCTCCTCTGTGCTGAAACTGGTCAGTGGCTGGTTGGGATGTAATCTATGCACTCAAAACTAAGGTGCTGAGTGAAAGAGAATCTATTGCCAAGAACCGAGTTTGGTAAAGGTAGCTGACTAAACTGGTTAACATAGGTGTGATACAAAGTAAATTTCTCTGTACCGCAGGCCGAGGCTCCAACCGCTGAGCCAAACCGGCTAGGGCTGTAAATTTCTAAAATTCTAAGGAAATTTGATTTTCTTAGATGGCTACTAAACTATTTCTAAAGGCAATTTCTTTTTTTTTTTTTTTTTTTTTTTTTTTTTTTTTTTTTCCAAATCTTTATTGTTGGATGTAAAATGTATTACAGATGTTCCACATTTTTCCCCCATTGACCCCCTCCTCCCCACTCCCACCCCCCTCCCACCTTTTCCCACACTATTGTCTGTGTCCATTGGTTATGCATATAAGTTCTTTGGTTTATTTCTTCCCACCCCCCCCAACCCCTTTCCCTTTGAGGTTTGTCAGTCTAGCAATGAGTTTGTGCTTCTTAATCCCTTCACCTTTTTCACCCATTCCCCCAACCCCCTTCCCAACTGGCAACCAATAAAATGTTCTCTGTATCTATGAGAATGTTTCTGTTCTTCCTGTTCATTTTGTTTGTAGATTCCATTGTTGATAGATATGTATTCATTGCCATTTTGTTTGTTCATACATTTTATCTTTTTCTTCAAAAAGACCCTTCATCATTTCATATAATAACGGTTTGGTGGTGATGAACTCCTTTAACTTTTTCTTGTCTGGGAAAGTTTTTGTATGTCCATCGATTCTAAATGACAGCTTTGCAGGATAGAGTAATTTTGGTTGTAGGTTCTTGGTTTTCATCACTCTGAATATTTCTTGCCACTCCCTTCTGGCCTGCAAAGTTTCTTTTGAGAAATCAGCTGACAGCCTAATGGGTACTCCCTTGTAGGTAACTAGCTGCCTTTCTCTTGCTGCTTTTAATATTCTCTCTTTGTCTTGAACCTTTTGCATTTTGATGATGATGTGTCTTGGTGTGGGCCTCTTGGGGTTCATCTTGTTTGGGACTCTCTGTGCTTCCTGGACTTGTATGTCTGTTTCCTTCACCAAGTTAGGAAAGTTTTCTGCCATTATTGTTTCAAACAGGTTTTCGATTTCTTGTTCTCTCTCTTCTCCTTCGGGCACCCCCAAGATGCGAATGTTGGCACGCTTGAAGTTATCCCAGAGGCTCCTTACTCTATCCTCATTTTTTTGGATTCTTTTTTCTTTTTGCTCTTCTGATTGGGGATTTTTTGCTTCCTTATATTCTAAATCGATGGTTTGCTCCTTGGATCTACATACTCTATTATTGAAGCTGTGTAAATTATTCTTTATTTCAGTTAATGCCTCCTTTAATTCTAACTGTGTATCCATTATTTCTAACTGGTACTTTTTTATGCTCTTGATGCCCTCCCTAAGTTCACTGAGGTTCTCACTAAGTTCATTGAGCATCCTTATAAGCAGTATTTTGAACTCAGTATCTGTTAGGTTGCTTATCTCCCTTTCGCTTAGTTCTTTTATTGGGGTTTTGTTCTGTTCTTTCATTTGGGACCTGTTTCTTTGTATCCTCATTTTGGCTGCCTCCCTGTGATTGTTTCTGTGTATTACTTAATGAGAGGTATGGGGCTCGCTGAGACCCGGTGCTGCTCGTTTGAAAGAATTTAGGAAAAACCTGAAGCAGGATCCAAGACCGGCCAATCCTATGGTTAAGCAAGTGGGAACAGCTTGAAAGTTGTGTGGGGCGGGGCGGGGCGGGGCCTCAGGGAGTCAGCAGGGCGGGGCTACCAGTGTGAGCCTGGTTGCTGGAGTCCCAGATATGGCTTCTGTCTGCCGCCCCCGGGAAGGGCTCACCAAAGGAACAAAGGCCTCTGACAGCACGTTTGTCCCCGAGGAAGCCCCCTCTCCAGCTCTCGCTCCAGTGCCAAACAGCTCAGTTCTTCCCTGTGTGTCTCTGGTGCCCCTCGAGCTGCCTCCCCTCCAAGCTTAGAGGGAGAGAGTCCGATAAGTCCGTGCGCGGGCCCTTTAGGGAGCTGCCTGGGGCTCCAGCCGCTTCAGCTTCCCTGAGCCTCAGTTTCCGCTGGTTTTTCCAGCCAGAAGTTATGGGGACTTCTCTTCCTGGCACTGGAACCCTGAACGGGACACCTGGTGTGGGACGGGGACCCCTCAGTCCTCAGGAAGGACCTTCCCAGCCGCGGGATCCTCCTGATTTTTATCCACCACGCTTGGGTGTGGGACCAGCCTGTCTCGCCGCTGCGCGCTCAGCCGCCGCTGCGCCGCCGCCCCCCCTCGCGCCGCCGCCCCTCCTACCGGTCTGGATGTAGCTGCTCTTTTTTTTTTTTCCTTAGTTCCGTAGTTGTACGACTTCCATTCAGCTTGATTTCAGGCGGTTTTGAATGATGGTTGTTCTGTAGTTTAGTTGTAACTTTGATGTGGTTGTGGGAGGACGCGATACCGCGTTTACCTACGCCACCATCTTGACCGGAAGTCGCTAAAGGCAATTTCAAAAGAGGAGTTCCAAAAATGTATTTCAATAATGGAGTCATTTTTGAAATAACTCTTGATAAATACTGTTCCTGTCAGGGAAAAAAAATTCAGTGATGGAAGGAGATTTTCCCATAAAACTGAAATTAGAAGACAAGATGATCAACCTGTTTTAGAGCTTCCTTGAAGGGAATTTTTATTTTATTTTATTTTTTATCCTCACCCAAGGACATTTTTCCATTTTTTGTTCAGATAGAGTGGGGGGGGGGGAGAGGGAGAGAGAGAGAGAAACATCGATGTGAAAGGGACACATCGAGTGACTGCCACCCACACGACCAACCAGGGCCGGGGACAAACTGCAACCGAGGTACATGCCCTTAGCGGGAACCGAACCCGGGTCTCTCTGGACCGCAGGCCTACACTCTAACCGCTGAGCCAAACCAGCCAGGGAATTTTTAACATCTTATAAGCAAAGTCTCTCTCTTTACTCTAACCATAGAGACTACTCACCCAGTGGTAGAGCTCGGGTCAAGTTAGCAGCTGGAGGATCTGTTTCTGGAGGACAGAGTTCACAGAAGTCCCAACAGGATGGACAGAGCAGGTTTCCATTGTGAATCCAGCCATTCATCTGAATACTAACGAAGAGGACCTGCCCAGCCCGACTACACAAATATGAAGTATCTTGGACCCAAACCTTTAGACCTTGTGGAGAGCAAGAAACCTTCAAATAGAAAAAAAAAAAAAAAAAAATCAGATCAGTAAGTATATTGGCCTTCTTCATCTGCAGGAAAAAGGATTAGAATTTACTAAAAATACTGGCTATAAAACACAATTTGGGATATAAAAATTTTTAAATGAATATTTCTTCTTCCAAGTTGTTTTCTAAAATGCCTTCATATTAATTTCAATTACACTACTTCATTTTAAATATTTCTAAAACTTCTTTCCTAGAACTACTTTAAAATTAAACGCATGTTTCTGAAAATGTTTGATATTAGCAAAGTTTTACTTTCCAAGATGTAATTTTTGGAACTACCCAAAAGTTTCCCAGAACTGAGTCTGGTAAAGGTAGTTGACTAAACTGATTAACACCAAGTTAATACAGGTGTGATGCAAAGTACTAAAATTGATTTTCTTAGATGGCTATTAAACTATTTCTAAAGGCAATTTCAAAAGAGGAGTTCCAAAGATGTATTTCAACAATGGAGTCATTTTTTAAATAACTCTATCATCAATTAAGTTTAAATATAATACTCATTTGGAAATTTAAGTTATAATACGCTTTCAAGAAAAAAACAAAGAGCAACCTATTCCACAGCCTGTCATTCAATGACCCACATCTAATAAGCATTACTGTAGCTATAGTGCCATGTAATCATCTTTTTTTTTTTTTAAACTGATGCTCTCTTCTACCTACAATTATGGTACAGACTTCACAACTGAAGTTTGTTTGTTTGTTTGTTTGTTTGTTTGTTTGTTTTATCCTCACCCGAGGACATTTTTCCATATTTTGTTCAGATAGAGTGGGAGGGAGAAAGAGAGAGAAACATCGACGTGAAAGGGACACATTGAGTGGTTGCCACCCGCACAACCCAACCAGGGCCAGGGACAAACTGCAACCGAGGTATGCGCCCTTAGCGGGAACTGAACCTGGGTCTCTCTGGACCGCAGGCCAACGCTCTAACCACTGAGCCAAACCGGCCAGGGTCATGTAATCATCTTTTAAGTGAGACTTGATTGAGTCTCGTGTTTAGTACTAAAAAGGATACCAAAGAAGTTTACAACACAATGCCTGCCCTCTAGCAGCTTTAATTGAGGAGAGAAGGGTGGGACATAAAATTTTTTATCCTAGAGATGTGCATAGGATTTGGATCACAGTAAGGAAAAAATGTTGTGACCTGATGGGTTGTGTCAGAGTCCAAGTGGCTGAAAAGGGCAACTGCGTGGGTGGGAGAAGGTGAAAGAGAATGTGGACAGATCAAATAAGTACACATACCGAGGACAAGGAGAGCCAGATTTCTCACTGCCAGAGGAAGGACTTACAAATATAGAAAGGGAGAAAACTAAAATGAATCCTTTGGTGTTAGACTGAAATCAAAGACACTGGTGCAAACTCATGGTTATATACTTACACATGTATGAGTAGTATATTTATAAGTTACATAATCCATATATTTCCTAGCTCTGTTTACCAAGAGGGCCTAGAGAGCAGCTATATCTCAAAAGCAATGAACAGTACATCTAGCACCCAGATCTTAGTTTCTAAATACCATACTCCACCGAAATAAACTAGAGCTCCTTGGAGAAATGATTGATTCAGGCAGGGGAAAAGAAAGTAAAGATATTCCTGGCCTAGCATATCTTGGGCCAGAAAGCAAGGCAATATTAAAAGAAAGATGGAGACAGACCAAAGAACACAGGAACCGACCTGAAGAGGCTCCTATGGCCAAAGCTGGAACAACTTGAATATCAAAATAAATAATAACAGTAATGGTAATAGTTATTGAATAAAATGGAATCTGTGAGTCAAAACTGATATAATACATAAATTATTAATACATAAATTAATAAAGTGAAAGTATGAAAATAAATATGTTATTGACATAGTACCTTCTCCCCAATACTTATTAATTACAAAGGTAATCAATTAAAAACAGAAAAAAAATAACTTGTCAACAGAGCAGCCTGGTATACCAATGAGTTAACATCACCAGTAAAGAGACAAAGCAAAGGAGTGTACCACCAGAACATGAGCATCACTTCCGTAGTATTACTGCCCAAAATACATGACCTGAATTTAATAAAAGATCGCACATCTGTTCTCCTAGAAAAGAGCTGGCTTGTAATCTTTTAAAATGCCAAGGTTATGAAAGTCAAGAAAAGACTGAGGACCTGTTCTAGATTGAAGAATAGAGACATGACAACCACATAACATGTGAGATCAGTGCAGATTCTACTGCTACAAGGACATTATTAGGCCAACTGGCAAAACTTGAATAAGGTAGAAGAATTAGATGTTATCAGTGTTAATTTCTTGATATTTTGGGTAGTATTATAGTTGTGTAGGAAGATATCCTTGTTTATAAGAAGTACACATTCAAATATTTGGGACTGAAGGGGCAACATGTTAGCAGTTTATACTTAAATGATTAAAAAATTTTTTGAATACCATTCTTGCAACTTCTGTCAAAATGACAAAACCAACAACAAAAAGCAAAATGGTTAATCCATATATGAATTGTTTGGAATTATATACACTCTTCCACATATATGGTGGTTAGTATTAAATTAGCAAAATTAACTGACAATACTAGGTACAGGGAAGCCAAGTAGTACATTCAACCTTTATGGATGGTATTTTAAATCTGCATAATCCCTTTGTAGTGGTGGTAGTGTTGATAAAACATTAAGATAGTCTGAAAAGGTCATCTTCCTGTTATAGTTGTCATTATTCCTTTAACATAACATTTTCCCTTACAGGAATTTATTTCAAAAAATAAATTTAAAAAATGGTAAAATACGTAAGTATACTTAGAAAACAATTTCTACATAGTGAAAACTCAATATATAACAAGGAATGTTCTACAGCCATAAAGAATAATAAATATTATTACTGAAAAAACTTGGAAAGGATATTTTGCTCTGCATAAAAAGTACTAAGTGAAGGAAGTAAAACAAAATGATGTGTTATGGTTACAATAGGTCAAAACTATGTATTTAATTAATACATAAATCTTTAATGGAATTTATCAGAAAATGGTTGCTAGGTTATAGCTGTCAGATTATAGCTGGAAAGTGTTTATTTTTAATTATCTTTTATAAGGTTTCAAAGATAATTTTATATGACTAGTATGGTGTGTAAACTGTATATCAATAAAGCTTTTACTCCAAAAAAGGTTAATTTTATAAAAAACTTTAAAAACAATATTTAAATTCCCAGCTCCAGAAGGCCATTTAGCTCTTGTAGCTGAAATAGTACAATAAATTATTATTTTCACTTTTCGGGAGCACACTCTCCTCCTTGACATCTATTAGTGGAGTACAGAATATTAATGAAATTGACCATTCCTAAGTTACAGAATGCATGTCTCAGTAAGTTTTTAAAAAATTAAAATGAGGGGTGGGGGGATTCAGTGGGGGAAAGAGGAGAAACATCTGTAACAAAAATAATTAATTTTAAAAAAAGAAAAAAATTAAAATGATGCACTCATTTAATATCATACAAATAAGATAAATAATAAAATAATAATTTGCCCCCTTTTGATTTCTACTTTCAAAGGAAAAAAACCTATTATTAACCAGTAATTGATTCTTTTTTTTTTAATCCTCACTCGAGGACATTTTTCCATGTTTTGTTCTTGTTGTTGTTCAGACATAGTGGGAGGGAGAGAGAAGGAGAGAGAGAGAAACATCAACGTGAGAGGAATACATAGAGTGGCTGCCTCCTGCATGACCCAACCAGAGCCAGGGACAGACTGCAACCGAGGTACGTGCCCTTAGCGGGAACCGAACCCGGGCCTCTCTGGACCGCAGGCCAACACTCTAACCCCTGAGCCAAACCGGCCAGGGCAATTTATTAATTCTTAAATTTATGCTTTCTTCAGATCTTAGGAAATAATATTATAAATTTTTTCCATTCAGAGTAATATCTATTGAAGAACAAATTATATGTTTTCCATTATTTCCTTAAAATATACGCCCCCCCAAAAAGATACATGCCCAAAAGTAAAATTATTATACAACTTATTGATCTATAACAATTATATACATATTTTAAAACAAGTGGAGAAAGGCAATTTCTCTAAAAATAGTAACAATATTTTCACAAAACACAAGCATCCAAACTAATACTTACATAAACATAAGTTAAAGATTAATCAATAAATTAACGATAAAAATATAAAATATATTTTATAAAAACAAATAATGAGACAAAACTGATTAATATATGGTATAATTATTAACAATCATTTAGTTTACCTGATAACATCCACTCCCCCAGTCTGGGTAACTCAGCTTCCTTTCACACTTTTCCATGACAAAAGCTGATTTCTGAGTTAGACAAACTGAATGAGGTCCATACTTTTCAGCACCGTAGTTTTTTAAAAGGTCTGAGACAAACGAGAAAAGTTTTCTTAATTGACCTTTGGCTCAAAGAACAAGAAATTGAAGTATTCCATTCTTATGATTCAAGGTTGTTTTAAAAACAAACATGTTTAATGGAAATTTTCAATTAAAAAATCAAGAGAGAGGGCTCCAACAAACTGGGTTCTCACTACAGGAACTACTGGGAGAAAATTACTATACCAGAAACAAGTGATAAAACTGGGCCTAAAGTATTTAAAAGTTAGATATATAGAGGAAATGGCACTAAGAATCACCTTCACTGGTGGCCTAAATAGGAGTCACCTCCCAAATAACCCTGAATAGTATGAGGACAATTTATATAATGAAAGCTTTTTTGGGGTGTTGCAACTTTTGCAAAACTTTTTATATTTTCAACTTATGTTATCTCCTAGAAGTTCATAAATACCATGCTGATCTAGTCTCAGACTAAGCACAAACACTGAGTTGACTCAGTGACCTCCAAATAGCTAATGACAAAGAATGAAGCTCTTCAACACCAGGAATAATCTGCTCTCTTTACACTTAACATAAGTAAGTTTCATCTTTTGAAAGCAGAGAGTTCAATTAGCCCATTTTGTTTTGTTTTGTTTTTTTAATCCTCACCCAAGGATATTTTTTACATTTATCTTCAGATAGAGTTGGAGGGAGGGAGGGAGGGAGAGAGACACATCGATTGGTTGCCTCCCGCATGACCCCAACCAGGGCCAGAAACTGAACCACAACCAAGGTACGTGCCATTGACTGGAATCAAACCCGAGACTCTTTGGTCCAAGGGCCGACACTCTAACTGCTGAGCCAAACTGGTCAGGGCCAATTAGCCCATTTGAAATATTATAAAGATAAGTATTACCCTGGACAGGTAATTTAGTTGGTTAGAGCATTGTTCCTATATGCCAAGGTTGCGGGTTCAATCCCCGGTCAGGGCACATACAAGAATCAACCAATGAATGCATAAGTAAGTGGAACAACAAATCGATGTTTCTCTCTAAAATCAATAAATAAAACATTTTTAAAAGATGAGTGTTTTATTTTATGTCAGTTTTGAAAAATCTTAATTATATAAGCTAAGAAAAAAATGTAAAACTGAACTCTGTATTTCTTTTATTTTCAGAGTATTTCTTTCTTCCTTTCTTTCTTTCTTTTTTGGTACGTGCCCCTAGTGGGAACTAAACCCAGGACTCTCTGGTCTGCAGGCTGATGCTCCAACCGCTGAGCCAAACTGACCAGGGCTATTTTCAGAGTATTTCAAAGTACTCAAAAAACAGTGATCAATGGCAAGAAAAACAAGAGGGTCAGCTAGCTACAATTTTCAGGCCAAATCCTGAGGGCTACCTGTTTTTTGTTTTTAAATTTTTTTTAAAATTAATTTTTAGAGAGAGAGAGGAAGGGAGAGGGAGCAAGAGATAGAAACATCAATGAGGAGAACATCAATTGGCCGCCTCCTACACACCCCCCACTGGGGATCTGGCCCACAACCTGGGCATGTGCCCAGACCAGGAATCAAACCGGCGACCTGTTGGTACATGGGTCGCTGCTCAACCACTGAGCCACACCAGCCGGGCACTACCTGTTTTTATAAATAAAGTTTTATTCAACATATCCACACTCATTCATTTATACATTGTTTATTTCTGCTTTCACACTATAACAGCAGTGTTGAGTAGTTGCAACAGAGACTATGACCTACAAAACCTAAAATATTTACTATCTTGCTCTTTCTTTACAATAAATGTTCAACAACTCCAGCTATAAAACAATAAAATGCGTTACTTTATTTTTAGCAAACCCATAACTGATCTGTGCATTTCTTTTGCTTTACATGGAACTGCTAAATAGTTGTATCATAAATCTTTAAACATTTATTATGTAGGTGACTGACAGAAAAATAACTGTACATATCCAGTTAAATTTGCCAGGTTTAAGAATAAAACACTGACCATGTGCGGTGTTTAGAGCATTGGGCCAAACACCTATGAGTTGTGGGTTTGATTCCTCGTCAAGGGCAATTACCTGGGTTGCAGGTTTGATCCCCAGCTCTGGTCAGGGTGCATGTGGGAGACAACCAATTGATGCGGTTCTCTCACATGGATGTTTCTCCTCTCTCTCTCTTTCTCTCCCCTTCTTTCCCTCTCTCCCCTTCCACTCTCTCTAAAAATCAATGGAAAAGATATCCTAGGGACCGGCCAGTGTGGCTCAGTGGATTGAGCATCCTTCCATGCACCAAGAAGTCACCAGTTCTATTCCAGGTCAGGGCACATGCCCCAATTGTGGAATCAAACCCCAGTAGGGGTGCGCATAAGGCAGCCACTTGATGTTTTTCACTGATGTTTCTCTCTCTCTCCCTGTCCCTTCCTCTCTCTGAAATCAATAAAAACATATTTTAAAATAACGTAGGGTGAAGAGTAACAAAAAAAACAAGAATAGCCTTGGCCGGTGTAGCCCAGTAGTTAGAGCACCGGCCCTCAAACTGAAGGTTGAGGGTTTGATTCCCAGTCAAGGGCATGTACCTGGGTTGCAGGATCAATCCCCAGCCCCGGTCAGAGTCCTGTGGGGCGTAACTGATCAATATGTCTCTCTGACATGGATGTTTGTTTCTCTCTCTCTCTCTCTCCCTCCCTCCCTCCCTTTCACTCTTCTCTAAATATCAATGGAAAATTAACAATGCGGGGGGGGGGGGTGCGCAGGATAGGAAGGAGGGTGTCTGGAGGGGGGAAGAGAAACATCTGTAACAAAAATAAATTAATTTTAAAAAATGAAAACAAAAAGAAAAATATCCTTAGATGAGGATTAACAAAACACACAAAAAAACAAAAATACAGCCTGGCCTGATGGTGTAGCTCAATGGTTGAGTGTCAACCCATGCGCCAAGAAGAGGTTGCCAGTTCGATTCCCGGTAAGGGCATATGCCCAGGTTTTGGGCCCGATCCCCAGTGGGGGACGTGCAGCAGGCAACCAGTCAATGTTCTCTCACATCGATGTTTCTCTCTCTCTCCCTCTCCCTTCCTCTCTCTCTAAAACCAGTAAAAATATATATATATATTTTAATAATTAAAAAAAAAACAATAATACAACATTATGGAAATTTAAAATTTAGATGACTTAGTTTGTAATAAAGTATGGAATAAAGGTGGGGCAAAAAGGACCAGGTTAAAAGTTTTTATGACCACAGAAATAAAAATGACTTACTGCTGTTTATTAACATATCAAATATGAGAACATTTTACTTATAGAGATAGGTAGTCTGAGCTATAACTATTATTGCTGAATATCCAATTGACATACTGTTTACCCCTTTGATACCTGTTCATTTTTATGTATTAAGAAAGAATAAACATGGTAACATCTTACTAGCCATGGGATAATATTATTATTCTGATATCTGAAGAATGGCATGTTACTTCTAAATTACATAAAATGCACACTCCTCAGGAGAAGGAAAAATAGGACACCTAATGTGATTAGCTAAAAAGAGCTCTCCACTGGAGGACCCTGCACAAAAACCAATGAACTGATACAGTGATACACCTAGCGTCTTTTCATTCATCTGTGAAATTCAATAATATCTTCTCTATGTCTTTCATCAGGTTTTTAGAAGAATAAAATGAAATATAAAAATGAAAGTGCTTTGCAAATGAAGTGTCATGCAGATGTAAGGTATTACTAAAAAGCAGTATGTGTACACAAATGCAAATCTATCTAACAGCTAACAATCCTTTCTATGTGTCATGGTTCTAAGCTCTTATTACATTAATTCATTTAATTTTCCTTTGTACAGAGGAGGAAACTGAGGCACAGAGAAGTTAGGTTATTTACAACAGATGGATAGCAGTGGAACCACAATACAAACTCAGTCTAACTCCAGGGTCTGTGCTCTTAACCACGATTTTACATTGCTGATATATAATTGTAATATGTATATAACATTTCATTTCACTAGACTACTAACCTGGTTGATTTTCCAATATTCTACAATCTGAGCTGCGCTGATATTCACCACTTAAATGCCAACTGAATTCCTGACTGAAAGGGCAGTAGTCAGCAATTTCTACTGAACCACCATAATAAGGCAAATCTTCTTCAGGTATGCCATTGAGTTCATCAAAATACTGCAAAAAATTATTGGAAAGACAAGAGAGAAAGATACATTCTTATAATCAAAACAGTCCACAGGCAATTTATAGCAACCCTCTAATACTGTATAACACAAAGAAGATAGTAATGTAGTTTTCGTCACATACAATACAACACAAAGATAGTAATATACTACTCAGGGCTATGTCAAAGTTATTGTAGGTTTAGAAATAAGCAAGGTAAGTAAATTAGTCTAAGTTTTTTATTAGATGACAAATTTGATTAGTGTTTTTAAAGGATAAATTGGAAGACTTTTAAGAGTTAACAAAACAGAAAACAAATATGTAGAATTAAGACTGTAAATATACTGTACTTCAAATGTTTTCATGAAACTTAATTTATATTTGTTTTGACTTGAAAAAATAAAACTGGGAAATGAAAGCAATCACATATATACATACAACACTTTGAACGCCAAAGGAACAAGGTACCAGATAAATCTTAAAGATCTCACAGTTTACACCAACTCACTGAATGTCTAGAAATATAGTTGCCATCATATGCTGTCTGAAACACCCAGAAAGGTCATAAACATATGTAGAAAGCTCAAAATTTAGCAGCAATCATTTTAAATTAGCTTCTGAGATATCATCTTTAACTAAAGTGTCCTTTGAAAATGACAGGCAGAGCTGAGGCTTTTAGAGATTGCCACAGCAATAAAAACTTAAAAGGTTAAATCAGATTCAGACTGAAAATGTGAGATCATTTCCTTCACCTTTTAGATCCCCCGAGTCAAACCTTCTCTAAAGCAGAACATCCAAGCCTTCTATCAACTGGCGTAGAGTACCTCAGTTATTTTCTTTAAAGAATCTTGTTTGTGTGTGTGTGTGTAAATTAGAGGAAATTAAAGATGAAGACTTTGGAAACAATTAGAAAGAAAAGGCATACTGTTTAAAAATATTTAGATCAAAATAAATATTCTAAATGCCTCTTACCATTTCTACAAGGCATTGCTAGATATTAATTACTATCGATGATCACATTGGTTATATGGAAATGGAGGAATTCCTCAGTTTATCTGACTTATAGAAAACAAATGAGGCCTTATAATTGAAAAACTTAAGAGAATTTACTCTTCTAATTCAAAATGGAAACATTTTTAAAAAGCTGATTCCTAAAATTGTGCCCCAAACAAGTGTTACCTGGTATTCTCGAGGCAAAGGTTTTGGAAACTTCTGCAAATTACACACTGCAACTGCTCTCTGGTCCTGTCTGCAAGTTAACTGCAATGGATTACTTCTGAGTGTGTCACAATAAGGGTTCAGCATCTGCCTCCTGCACACAAAGATAAACACTATGGTATAAAACTGGAAAGAAAATATTACAAGTCTATTCTTTTCCATTATAAGCATATCTTTTGCATTATAATTTCAATATGTTTTTATAGCTTAAAACTAATTGCTAAATCGGGTTATTAACATTTTTCGAAGGGTAAAAGGAATACTTAATGTAGATGTGAAAGATTAATACTGAATGCCATATAACACTATTTCACTGTTATGAAATAAAATCCTATTTATCTCTTTCTCCACTTTTGTCAGTAAAATGAAGTTCTAAGACCTGATTTGCATTTTTTTTTTTTATCCTCACCCAAGGACATTTTTCCATTTTTTTTTGTTCAGACAGAGGGGGAGGGAGAGAGAGAAACATTGACATGAAAGGAACACATCAAATGGCTGCTGCCTGCACAACCCAACCAGGGCCGGGAACAAACTGCAACCGAGGTATATGCCCTTAGTGGGAACCGAACCCGGGTCTCTCCGGACCACAGGTCAATGCTCTAACCGCTGAGCCAAACCAGCCAGGGCTGATTTGCATTTTTGATGACAAATAATGAAATTCCAGAGTCTGCCTAAAAATATAAATCTTCATAATTAACAAATAAAGTCTCAGAAACAAATGGACATGTTTCCTTTGTCTTGCATCTACAAAGAGTTAAATATTTTCTGTGCTATAATCTAGTTCAAAGAATCTTGGTTGACAATTTGTTAAATGAAAAACGTTTACAACACAATCTTGTTTTTCTGTGCAAAATGAAGATTGCTTGAATGTTGTTACAACTTGTTCCGTTCTCTGTTAAATCTAATCTTGGAGGTACAATTTAGAAAACGGGGTCTTGTAATTCTCCAAAGGCATCAGAATCTGTCCTGTTAAAATAGCCTTCACACAACCTATAACTCTGATCAGTGACCTATAGATAAACCCCATTAAGATTGTGATTGTGGCCCTGGCCGGTTTGGTTCAGCGGTTAGAGTGTCGGCCTGCGGTCCTGAGAGACCCGAGTTCGGTTCCCGCTAAGGGCGCGTACCTCGGTTGCAGTTTGTCCCCGGCCCTGGTTGGTTGTGCGGGTGGCAGCCACTCGATGTGTTCCTTTCACATTGATGTTTCTCTCTCTCTCTCTGTTCCTCTCTCTCCCTCCCACTCTACCTGAACAAAAAATGGAAAAATGTCCTCGGGTGAGGATAAAAAAAAAAAAAAAAAAAAAAGATTGTGATTGTGCCTGGCCAGTGTAGCTCAGTGGTTAAGCACTGACCCATACACCAAGAGGTTGCTGGTCCTGGTCAGGGCACATGCCCAGGTTGTGGACCTGATCCCCAGTGGGGGGCATGCAGGAGGCGGCCAATCGATGTTCTCTCTCATCAATGTTTCTCTTTCTCTTCCTCTCCCTTCCTCTCTCTCTAAAACCAATAAAGAAAAAAAAAAAGATTGTGATTGTAATAGGATCACTGATACTTTTCCTCTTCTCTCAAATGCTTATTAAGGGAAAAAAAAGTATAGGTTAGATTTCTTCTTATAATTTTTTTTAATCCTCACCCGAGGATATTTTTCCATTGATTTTTCCAATAGAGTGTGATGGAGGGAGGATAGAGAGAGAGAGAGAAACATTGATGTGAGAGAGAGACATCAGTTGGTTGCTTCCTGCACAACCCCAACAAGGGCCAGGGACCAAACCGCAACCAAGGTACATGCCTCGACCGGAATCAAACCTGTGACTCTTTGGAATAAGGGCCAATGCTCTAACCACTGAGCAAAACAGGTCAGGGCTAGGTTTCTTTTTTTTTTTTAATATAATCCTCACTTGAGAATATTTTTTTTTTCCCATTTATCTTCAGATAGAGTGGGAGGGAGGGAGGGAGAGAGAGAAACTTTGATGTGAGAGAGAGACATTAACTGGTTGCCTCCTGCACAACCCCGACCAGCACTGGGGACTGAACTGCATGCCATTGACCTGAATTGAACCCATTACTCTTTGGTCGATGGGCCGACACTCCAACCGCTGAGCCAAACTGGCCAGAGCTAGATTTCTTTTTTTTAAGGAAGATTTATACTTGCCTCATTTAACTTATCATAGCGTAGCAATAAAATATCTACAAGGAATTACAGCTTCCTAAGATAATGTGTGTAAAATACTGAACAGTCTTTGGTAAACCTGAAGTAGCACAGTGTAATTGGAAAACAAAGGTATTGAAGTCATTACACAGGCCTGGTTCAAACACCAGATTATTTGGTGTTTACTTAACTTTCCTGAGCTTCAGCTATTAAAGCACTAGGTGCCTAGCACATATAAGTTACTCAATAAATGTAATTTTCACTGTGCATACCAATTTTATAAAATCTTCATATAAGGCAATTTTATAACTTTCTATGATAAAGTTTCTAATTTCTATGACCAGTAGTTAGTTCTTACGAAGGCACTTTCTATTTTTTTTTTTTATCCTCACCCAAGGACATTTTTTGTTTTTTGTTCAGATAGAGTGGAAGGGAGAGAGAGGAAGAGAGAGAGAGAAACATTGACGTGAAAGGGACACATTGAGTGGCTGCCACCCGCACAACCCAACCAGGGCCGGGGACAAACTGCAACCGAGGTACGTGCCCTTAGCAGGAACCAAACCTGGGTCTCTCTGGACCGCAGGCTGATGCTCCAACTGCTGAGCCATATCCCAGGGCCTAAGGCACTTTCTTGATACCATGAAATTCACTTACTTTTTTCTCCAAAATAAAACAGTACATATAGCCCTGGCCATTTTGACTCAGCAGTTGGAGAATCAGCCTGCGGTCCAGAGAGACCCGGGTTTGGTTCCTGCTAAGGGCACATACCTCGGCTGCAAGTTGTCTCCGGCCCTGGTTGGTCGTGCAGGTGGCAACCACTCGATGTGTCCCTTTCACTCTCTCTTCCTCTCTCTCCCTCCCACTCTACCTGAACAAAAAATGGAAAAATGTCCTCAGGTGAGGATTAAAAAAAAAAAAGTACATATATTCACTTTAACTAAAACATGAGTTTTGTTGGCCTTGGCTGGGTAGCTCAGCTGGTTGGAGCATTGTCCTAATACACCAAGGTTTTGGGTTCAATCTCAAGTTAGGGCACATACAAGAAGCAACCAATGAATAAGACAAGAAGTGGAACAACAAATCAAATCTCTCTCTCTCCCCCTTCCTCTCCCACTTTAAAAATCAATAAAAATAATTTTTTATTTTATTATTATTTTTTTTATCCTTACCCGAGGACATTTTTTGCACTTATCTTCAGACAGAGCGGGAGGGAGAGAGGAAAGTAGAAAGATAGAGAGAGAAACATCGACGTGAGAGAGACGCATAGAGTAGTTGCCACCCACACGACCCCAACTGGGTCCAGGTACAAATTGCAATTGAGGTACGTGCCCTTAGTGAGAACCGAACCCGGGTCTCTCTGGACTGCGGGCCAACACTCTAACCGCTGGGCCAAACCGGCCAGGGCGGTATAAAAATAATTTTTAAAAAAGGCAAACAAATGAGTTTTGGCTAAATGAATAAAAGGGAATAAGGAAGTCAAAAAATAATGATTATAAAAATTCCAAAGTTACAGTTGTTCAAGATTCATGGCTTACAAATTCTACAGCAGCACTGCCATAGTAGCCACTAATCAATCATAGAGTGGCTATTAACCACTCAAAATGTGACTAGTGCAATTGAAGACATAAATTTTAAATTTTATTTAACTTTAATTAATTTAAATAAAAATGTATATAATCGTCTGGCTGGTGTGGCTCAGCAGTTGAGCATCGACCCATGCACCAAGAGGTCGCTGGTTCGATCCTTGGTCAGGACACACGCCCAGGCTGTGGGCCCAATCCCCAGAGGGGGCGGGGCATGCAGGAGGCGGCCAGTCGATATTCTCTCTAATTGATGTTTCTATCTCTCTCTCCCTCTCATTTCCTCTCTCTCTAAAATCAATAAAGGGAAAAAAAAATTTTTAATGCATATAATCAATTGTGGCTAGTGGTACCATCTGAACAGTGCAGCTCTTGAGTTGATATTAATGTTAAATAAACTAGGCAGAGGAGCTGGTAATTTATCATTTTTAGTTATTTCAAAACACAGAACTTTATTTTGTGTGTGCAGAGATTCAAGTAATTCAAATAAACCTGGCTCTGCCTATGCTCAACCATACCCTTTTCACACTAGTCACCCAGCAATGGAAAAGAAGCGGTATTACAGCTGAACTTAAGCATGCTGGCATCTCTACGATAACTTAGTAATATAGCCAGACCGGACCTGTGGTGCCAGAAGGTGGCTTCTGTCCTGTAAATACTTGTGGACTTCAATACTTTACAAGTAGGGCATTTGAATGCTATGACATGGGTTAGCAAAGTTCAATTATTTGTCTGCAATCCTTGCCCACAACCTTTTTGTCTTTCCTTTATTTCTCCGACAACCTACTTTTGTAAATAAAGTGTTATTGGAACATGACTATGCCCATTCATTTTGTCCATGGCCGCTCTTGATGTATGAAAGCAGAGTTGAGAGTTGTGACAAAAACGGTATAATCCTCAAAGCTTAAAATATTTGCTAACTGTCTCTTTATAAAAAAAGGGGGTGGTTCACAATCTTTATCTATGGTTCAATGGACAGGAGAGAAATCAGGGAATCAACAGGTTTAATTTTAAAGAACAAAGAAGAAGAAATTTCCTTCTGTTTTTGATTTTAGGTGATCCTATAACTGAAACCCAAAAGGGAACAAACAGACTTGCAGCTGTTAAAAGAAAAAATAATGTCTCTAAACTCTTGCAGTTGCAAAGTTAACTATACACTTCCTTCAACACACTGGAACAGTGGTTCCCAAACCTTGCTGTACATTGAAATCACCTGGGAATCTCTTTTTTAAAAAAATTTAAAAAGCCTGTTCCACATCCAGATGATATAACTGGTACAGGTAGCAATATGGGCATGCAGATTTTTAAAATCTTGCTAGATGATTTTAATGTGCAGCATAATCTGGGGACTACCATATTAGCAGA